CATATCCACTTCCTTCAGGGTACTTGTTTTTGATTTTGAGATGGGGCCACCTGCAGCCTAGACCTACACCTTCCCTGTGCAGGGGTTAGGTGGGCAACAATGGCTAAAGAGGCCTTAGGGAGAATGTGTTGGAACCAGTGCTTCCAACAATGTAAACCTGTCAACTGCTCTGAAATACCCATGGCAGTGCTGTCCTGAGAAGTAGGGGCTTTGTTTGCTCTTTTCTTTCATCAGTGTTTCCCTGACCTTCCAGGAAAGAGTTTGCACACAAGCTGTGCTGAGCAGTCATACCCATAAGTTTCCATTGAGTGCCTTTGTAAAAGTGACTCTATGTTTAAAGATAGTGTGAGAAAGGGCATAGGCTCAGAAGTACAAGCTGAAGATGTTAAATCCCCAAGAAAGCGAGATGATGTTCCAGTTGACTTCCTCTGTTCTCTTGAATGTTTATGAGTGTAAGCATCTACCAAAGTTGGCACAGACCCAGTGAAGGTGTGGGCTGGCATGGCAGGAGGAAAGGGACTGTCTCTGAACTTGTCCAGAGACTTCAGCAGAACACAGGGTCTGGTGAACAGAAAATATTCAGCTATATTTTGGGATAGATGGAAAAAACAAAATATGGTTGGGTTGGAGTGCTTTTAAATAAGGGAGATGTATTGCTAAACGAACAGAGCTGGAATTCATAAGCAGAACTGAAAGGAGAGTGGTCAAAGCCATCAGAAGGAGGACTCACTGGAGAAGGGAAAAGTGACAGTAGTGACAGGAAAGCCAGTCACCTCAGCCACTGGCTATCCTTAGAAGACAGCATGTCCCAGGAAAACGGAATACCTGATGTCAGAAAAGCAAGAAATAGCCGGTGTTGGTGGCGCACGCCTTTAATGCCAGCACTCGGGAGGCAGAGGCAGGTGGATCCCTGTGAGTTTGAGGCCAGCCTGGTCCAGCAAGTTCCAAGACAGGTTCCAAAGCAATACAGAGAAACCCTGTCTCGAAAACAACAACAACAGAAAAAAAAAACAGCAAGACATAGTTTCCAAGGAGTTTCAGGAAATGATGCTGAGTTTGGGGATGTAGACATTCTTTATTCACTGATGGCAAGATTATTATTATGATGATCTCACTGACACCATATCTACAATCAATCCAGGATATTTCTTGTATCCAGTAGATGAGAGTTTGGAACTGTGGAGAGCATCTCTGGTCAGACACCCACCAAATTCACACCATTTTTTCAGAGAACTGTACCAAGGACCTTAAATGCCATTGTTTCTTCTACTTTATTGACTCCCAAAGAACAGTTGCCATTTTCAAGATTTTATTTATGAACCCTGAGGCATACATTAATATGTGCGGTGTAGGTCTAAATATTGATGTAGATCAATCCAAAATGTTATGTGGCTGAATGAGTTCATATATGATAACAAAAGTGAGAAAAAATCAGCTGAACACAATGTAAAATAAATCCTACTCAGTAAACAAATATGCAGAGACAAAGTAAATGAATGAAACAGTTAACAAGTATCCTCTCTCTAGAAGGCTAGATAATGAAAAATTATTCTTTTTTCTTATTCTTCATTTTCCTAATTTTCCACAGTCGGTGGATATGCATTATTTTATCAGTCAGAGCTATAAGCATTAGCAACTTGCAGACCACGCTAAGTCTAGCTCTCAAAGACTAGGGCATTTTCATGTAGTTTCTAGGAGAGTCTACATTCATGATTAACCAATGACCAGCTTGGACCTGCATGGCCTCTTGCCCATCATCTTGAATGTTCAGTTGGGGCAGCTGGGGTCCCAGTGCTTCCAAGTGGGTGCTGTGTTATAAACCCAAAGTGGCTCTCACAGGCTTATATTCCAAATGCTTGTTCTCTGTTGTCATGAGTATTTTAGAAGGCCATGTGACTTCAAGATCAGGGGTCTAGCTAGCAGAAGTAGGTCACTAGAAGTGTTATGCCCAAACTCTGAACCCCAGAATCACCAAGAGATCCGATCTGATGCAAAAGCAACGAGTCTTTAATTTTACTAGTTAACTCGGATATCCCGTTCCATCCGACACAGCAGAGGGTGAAGCAAGCAGGGGACCTGGAACAGCAGTGGGGCAGGAAATATACTGGGATAGAGCAAGGGGAGTGTCTGGGGTCCACAACAGTCTCAGGATTGGTGCAGCAGCTGTCCTGTGTTGATTGGTCAACTGCAGCTAAAGGAACATTGCCATGCTTGGAGGCCCTCCCCGGGTGGCAGCTACACTCTGCATTCCACTGTTAAAGCACATCCAGAGCCCACCAGATAACTTCTGATTGGTTTCTTGCCGCATGGAGGCTATCTGGCTTCCTAGTGACTGGGACAAGGTCTGCCAGGTCGGGGGACTCAGCACATGTTGCTGAGTCAGAGGCCTACCTCTTGCTGGGTCCTTCTGCAGCCTGTTATGGCTGCCAAAGCAGGAGGCTAGATGAGGGCCTGGTTCCTTCAGAAGCACAACTTTTTAACTTGGGCATAGCCCCTGGTCTGGGCTTCCTTCTCTGCTTCCTGCCCCACCTTGGTGTGAACAGCCTGGTCACATGATTCCACAGAGTGAACACCCAGCTATGTCTTCCCTGCCGTAATGACTGAAACTCATCAATGAAGGACGGAAACGCTGATGTGCTGATGCTGAAAAGCCCATCTTTCCTCCTGAGACTGTTCCCACGGGGACGGTGGCCGCAGGGCCCAAAAGTGCCATGGGGGGGGGGGCTGGGCAATCATCCTCCAAGCAAGAAACAGAGCAGGTCCACTTGTGTTTGGAGATTACATTTTCATGCACAGGATCAAGGTTACCTCTTATAGTTTCCCTTTCTCAAGTGAGCATTCTCAAACCGAGACCTGCTTTGGTGCAGACCTTCCTATTTTGTTTTTGCTGAAACTGGGACTTTGTTGTTGTTAAGCAATTGTTTTTAAAAACTTGTGCCTTCTGAAACAAGTTTAATACCCATCTCCCAAGGAGAGGGAGCTCTGACAGATAAACAGTCACCGCTGGGATTTTAAAAAGTGAATTCTGAGGCATTGTCACCCCATGTCGCAATGTTTGGTGTTGATGCAGAAGCCTCCGTTACTGCAGTGTTGTGGGGATTATGGGTGTCAGGGTTTCTCCTCTGATGGTGACTTGTTTATTGATCTTGCTCAAAACAGAAGTCTAGCTTGTGTTGTCAATTTTATAAAGTTTAATAGCTCATACCTATAATCCCAGCACTGGGGAGGCTGAGGCAGATGATCACCATGAGTTCAAGGCCAGACTGGGCTACACAGGGAGTACCCAGCTGCGTGAGGCTGTGCAGCAGCATCCTATCTCAAAGTTCAAATGCGGATTCAGAACGCATTTTAAAGTTCTTCGGTGTCTGGAGCTGTGCCTCCAACACTTTCTGCTTCCTCAGGACGGTCACTGTAGAACTTTTCATAATTAAAAAACGACATCTTTAGAGTAGTTTAAAAAAAAATAACTCTCAAGGATCAATGAGGAGACTCAGGAGGTAAAGATGTTTACTGAACCTGACAACCTGAGTTTAACCCTTCAGTCCCTGGGACTCACATGGTAGAGGGGAGGATCATCCCCAGAGTTGTCCTCTAGTGTCCATGTATGCGTGGTGGAGCTTGTGTCAACATGTGTGCACACTAAAATGTACATGCCATATACTTGCACTTAAAGAGATATAATACAAATATTTTAAACAGAGAAAATTGATTAGTATCTCAATTTTGATTACAATTGTATGAAGTATTGCAACTTACATTTTTGTAAAAACCCATAAAGCAGTTATTTCTTTCAGTCAGTATACAAATCAATATTATCCAGTGTGTTTTGGGTTGCTATCTACAGCATTAATATATTTAGACATGTATTTCATCTCCATATTGTTTCCATATTTACTCTATTTAAATAAAACCACATTGACTACTTTTATGTTTCTTTTTTAAAAAGCTTTTATGGGGTGGTATAGTGTGTGTGTGTGTATGTGAGTGTGTGTGAGTGAGTGTGTGAGTGAGTGTGTGAGTGTGTGAGTGAGTGTGTGTGAGTGTGTGTGAGTGTGTATGTGTGTGTGAGTGTATGTGAGTGTGTATGTGTGTGTGTGTGTATGTGCTGTGTACTCTCCACCTTTTCTTTTGAGGCAGGGCTACTACCACTCACCAAGTGTTTAAAGTGACTGGTCAGCCAGCTCTGGGGATGTACGTGTCTCTGTCCCCATAACAGAACTGCACACACACACACCCCATGCCTGACTCTTTTATGTGGATTCTGGGAATCCTAGCACAGAACCTCATCTTGTGCAGGAGGAACTTTGCTAACTGAGTCATCTTCCCAGCCTCTATCTCTGCATTTCTTTGTTGGTAGTTTAAAAGGATAATGTGAGATTATGTTAAACCACAGATTTCTATAAGCCTAGAGTTATGTCCAACTGCCATCTTCCTCAGCCCTGTTTTCCCACATATTCTTGAGGAATTTACTGGGGCCTAGATGCTACCCTTTTATTCTCTTTGGACATCTCCATCTGCTGTGCTTCTAAGTGAGACTTCCAAGCAGTCTTGGTGACCTTAGGGGGACATCAGCGATGGAAAGATCGGAAGAGTGGGGTGTGTGCCACCACTTGCCTCTTCAATAGCAGCTGGTGCCATTTCAACTTCTCTCTAAAATCTAGGCTCTTCCTGTCAATTGGTTGAAGCACCCACAAAGGAGAACACACTTGGAAAAGTGGTATCTTTTTCAGTCATGTGGACATAGTTGAAAATCTTTGGTGGCCAGTCCCACGTCACGTCTCTAGTTTTCTGGTCCTTTGTATTTCATGGATGAAAAATGGAGATGCAGATGATCTCTGTGGTGACTGCACAGAATGAACTCTTCATCCTGCTGAACAATTACCCAGCTACTGAAATACAACAGCACACATCGTAGCCAAGTTGTCAGAGGGGCTGTTTAACAGCTATGACCTCACAGCCATAAAACACAAGGCATGTAATGTGTAAGGAAACCCAAGACAGCTTTTCCACATTTGTTTTATTAGTGAGATTACCATATGGAAAATACCGTTAAGTTATCATAAACATTCTCTTAAGGGAATACTTAGGACTCAAGCAGATATTTTTATTTTCCTGGGCTTAGATTTCTTATTTGTTGCTTACAGAAGCATGAAGTTATGTTATCCATTATCTCCTCACCACACAATCAGCCCCAAGTGCTCAGAAAAGGCTCAGGCCTTTCATGCACTGGAAGTTCAAGGTTCCCGCTGCATTGTTTATTCGCATTAGTAAATGGGCCACAACAGCTGGTGGGTTCAGATGCACTAACTGGCCTATAGGAGAGTTTTGCCTTTGCTGGCAGCTGTCAAAACCAGTCTGAGCTGGCTGTAACAAAATTGCCCTTTGACCAGTCCCCACATAGGATTCATATAAGCTCAGACGATCATCAAGGATTTTGACTGTGGTCTGTTTTTCAAGTGTCGAAGACTTCTTAGAGATGCTCCCATAATTCCTTTTTGTTCAAACACCTGTGAGTTTCCTTCAGAGCAAATCTGACAACTTTTTTCTTCTCTGAATCTTGGTTTGATTTCTAATTAAGAAGGGCTAGTGGCAAAATCAACTGTGCCAGAATCGTGGTAATTATTTAAACACTCCCTCTGATTTCTGTTGGTCACCCACTGCTCCTGCCTATCGCCATCAGGTGCTCTTTCTTGTTTGGAAAAGCACGAGCCAACTTAGGTGACCAATAAGGAACAGGAACAAAGACAAATCGCACCCAGAAATCACTGCATGCATGCCAAAGAGTCAACAGAGTTTTCAGAGGGACCGTTGTTTATGTCAATGGTGTGGTAAGTTAGGCATTTGGTGACATGTCCCTCAGGTGGATGCTCCCAGATGCAAAGCTAGTGAAATCTGTGCTTTGGTAAAAATTACTTATCCCTTTCTCAGTAGTGCATTATGGTTGAAGGTTTAAACTTTGGGGAATGGGGCCTGCGGAGGAGCTGAGTCACTGGGGACATGTGCTTGCAGGGACTGTAGACCCGGTCTTTCTCTGCTTTAATTGGTCCATGCAAGCTGTACCCTATACAGGCACCTTCACCCTGATAACAGCAGCTAAGAGAGCTCCTTCCAAACTGAACTAGAGTCTCCAAAACCGTAAGCCTGATTAACACTCCCACTTCTTTTTAAAGTTATTTATGCAAAGCTGCCACCCATAACATGATGTCCACACATGTCAAAAGTTCCTACGTGTCATAGTCACACTTGACCCAGTTTCTGGTGTTCACTGTTCTCTGCTCTGTTTCAAGGCTGTTGCTTCTTGCTCATCTTCACGATGGAAAATAGTCTTTCTCCATGATTCTTTTCCACAAAGAATTTTTTTTGGTTTTTACGAGACAGGATTTCTCTATATTGTTTTCGAGGCTATCGGTCCAGCCCGGCCTCGAACTCACAGAGATCTGCCTGCCTCTGCCTCCCAAGTGCTGGGATTAAAGGCGTGCCCACCACCACCCAGCCTATTTATATCATACTTTACTGCAGTAGCGGTACTGACTGGCATGAATGCTTCAGTGATGAACGTCTAGTGTTTAAAAGTCCTCTGTTCATTGGTCAGGCTTCGTAGTTTTTCTCTCCTCTCCCCTGCTCTGCCTCAGGGACATTCACCCACCATAGCTACCAGCTTCTTCCATTTTCCAGTGCAGAGCTTAAGCCCCCCTCTAGTTCTCCAAACAGACTGGGCTGGGCGGGCTCCTCCAATCCTTCTAGGTTTGGATGGAGCTTTTCTCTAGAACTATTCTCTTTTGCATCTTTGTGTTTTCTCTGGAGAAAGAAGATAGTGTCCATTACAGATGGCCTCATCTCAGTTTAATTTCCTAGGAGTCGACACCCAATGACTGCTTGGCTTTCTTCCCCCAGATTTTGTTGTTTTTTAGAATTCTTATCTCTTCTCCTCATTCAAATTGCTCTTCTAGTTCAGTCCCTTATAGACGACAGTTCCATAAACAAGGGCCAAGAGCCCTTCCCACATCAGTTGACCTGCATATCTTAGGTAGAAATATTTAAGACTGAGACAGACACGATGGTGTGAAGTAAATCGTGGTTCAGTCACTCTGTTGGGATCTCATCAGCTCAGCATCAAGGTGATTGATGAAGTGGACCGGAAAATGCACATTTCTGCTGTCCAGCAAAATGGTGACTAAAAACAAATCACATTTTAATGGAGGGGGAGAATAATTCAATAAGGCTAACATATGATACAGCAACCTCTTCCATGTTATTATGAGCTATTGCTAGCAAAAATGATCTGTTGACCTGCTGTCACCGCACAAATGGAGAAGAACAAAAACAAGCTCCGTGGAGTAGAGTTGGGGGAGAGGAGGGGGCTGACATGGGGGAGAAGTCCCATGTTAGAGAGAGCCAGTTGTGCTCTTCAGCATCTCTTTCATTCTGGCTGACGCCAGCAGAGTGTCTGCTCCATGCTGCCTGTGTACCTAGAGTTCATTCGCCTCAAAGAAGTCCAAGACGTATAGGCTCATTTCTTCACAGCATAGACAGGCTGGTAATAGGCATGAGGTCAGCCAGTAGGGTCAGCCTCCAGGGCTGCATCCTTGACCTTTGTATTATATCATTTCTTAGGAAGGCCTGGAGGGATTTTCTCTCCAGACAGAAATACATACAAGTATTGCCTTGGCTGTAGCCACAAGCATTTTATAATAGCAACAAAGTATCATTTTGTCTACAGATGTGACATGCTATGAAAGTGAAGACCCAATCACTGTTATTGTTGTTTGTATGGCTGCCAGCGCACACATGTGAGGTGCTAAGAATGCTATGGCTTTACCTTGACTGCCTTCCCATGAGGCAGGAAAAAGAGGATTCTCAACCAATATCATAGATGATGAAACGACCCTGGTACTCAACCCATGTCATGGATGATGAAATGACCCTGGTACTCAACCCATGTCATAGATGATGAAACGACCATGGGTGCCCAACCTACTTCATGGATGATAGCGTGACCATTGTGTTCAACCCACCTCATGGATGATGAAATGATCCTGGAGTATGTTAGATAAAATGCAGTTGTCTATGGCCTAGAAATAACCTGTTGCACAAGCAGGTTCACTGTAGCTTGGTCCTTTGTGCCAAGAGTGTGTGATATTAACTTACTCTTGGGTGGTTGGAAGAATTAGGTCACTAATTTCTTACTCCAGACCATTAAACATAGCCCAGTTCTGGGGGATGTGACAAAAGGTGGCCCCTTTGAAACTACCAAATAAATGCCTGAGATAGTTCACATCAAACAGAAGCCCCAATGTTATCGTTTACCTTAGAAGGCCTGAAATCTCAATATGCAGACAGCAATGTTGGAGCTTACTCTCTTTTGCAGAATACCTTTGAGCATTTCATCTCATTTCATAGTTGAGAAGGGCCTGTGTGTTGTTTCAGGAAAATGGCAGCACGCTCACAACGTAAGAGCCAAAGGGATAGTGTCCACAAATGGCAAGCTCTTTGGTAAACACCGATTAAGGCATCTTATATAAGACACTGGGTCAGAAATAGACATTAAAATCACAATCTTGCGAGATCCAAGTAAACCACTAAGATTCCCCAATGAGCTGTGTGGGTAAATACATCCAAACATGAATATACTGAGTGCACATTTGCAAAGTTGTCTAGAGAATACTTATTGGCTGTCCCCATTGTTTAAGATGATTAATTGTACTCGGGACAGAAGTTATTCATTTAACTGCTGGTCTCAGGACAGCTGCACACTGGATGGTCACAGCTGCAAGGAGGTTGTAACCAAAGCTTCTAGAGGAGTTCAGAGAGTCTCCCTCAGAGGCTGACCTATGCACTTGACCTCAAGGATAAGTCAGGAAAGGGTATGTGGAAGGGACGGCCTTTGGCCCTTTCCTTCTACATAGGTCAGTGTGTGAGCACACCCTAGTATCCATGAACAGAATGAACCAGGTTCTCCCTCAACACCTGTGTGCACCCCAAGCATGGAAAGGACCCAGCCGTTATGAATTAGGCTTAGGATTCCCCACCTTCTTCTGGGCCTTGCATCATGGTCTTCATTTTTACCCTTGATACTCTCCCTTGCTCGTGTCCCTCTTATGATGGGTCTGTAACCTCCCCTCTCCTCCTGACAGGTCACAGTGGAAAATGAGCAATGAGTGACTAGGTCTTTGGTCCCATAGAGTAGCTTTTGTTTCTATTCCCTCTTGCCATGGAATTGTTTGACATCTATTTACATTGTGGTTTTTTTCTTGCTTTAAGAGAATACCATGGAGTGGGTAATTAATAAACAATAGAATAACGTGTGAAGCTCACAGTTCTGAAGATTAGATCAGTAGTGTGGTGCCAGCTCCTGGAAGGACCTTTGTGTTACGTCTATGAAGAAAGAAGGGAAACCGAGCATGCTCAAGACAGAGGGTGTGAGCTGACCTTATCGCTTTATCAAGGCCCCTAACACTGCCAACTGATGTCCTGCATCTATTTGTGAAGACAGGACTGTAAGCCACATCCCAAAGTCCTGCCTATCATCATTGTTTCAGTGACAAGTCAATTTCACAACAAAACCACAGCAGTGGTGCAGACTCTAAGCACAACCACTCCCATGCAAGCCTTCTTCAGAAAGTCATAGAGAACACAAGGGATCCAGGATTTCATTCATCTCTATCTCCCCAGACCCTGGCTCAGAACAAATACCTGACAGATGTCATTGGAAGAGTAACTAATGCAGACCCCGGCAGTCTTTGTACACTGGCTGGGAAAATGTCTCCTTGGTTTATAAACAAAATGGCTTATTTAGGTCCCTGAGCAAATTTGGAAGCCAAGCTAATTTGGTTAAAGTGTCTGCCTGTGGACAGACACTTTCAACTCCCTTGTCTTTGGTTTTCTGGAAGGTGGTGAGGTTTATAGACACAGTGAGACTTTGAGAAGTCACGCAGCACTAGTCTATGCCAAGTGTCTGAGATTTCACCTTGTAGGGATTGTAAGACCTGTGTGCCACATTTGACCAGGTGGCTTCCTGTCCCACTCTACCTGTCTCTGCAATCTTCCTTTCTTCCAAACGCTTCTAGTTGCTTCGTGTAGTGAGGACACAGCCTTTCTCCCTGAACTAATACAACAGCCACCATCTTCGTGAGACTACTACGTACTTGAAATGTGTGTTCCCAGTTAGAATGAGCTACAAGGGTAAATAAACAGTGTTTCCAAGATTTAGTATATACAATGAGCATAACATAGCTTGTTAACCTGACATATGGAAAAAGTAAAACATTAAAATTCACATCACCTCTTCTTATGGTTTATTGCAAATACTAGAAAATTTTACACAGAACATTTTGTTGGAACAATATTGCTCAATAATAAAATTGTTTTCCAAAATATGATTTCATTTAAATCTAGAGAAAAAAGGCTCTAAGTTAGAGAGTTGCTCCGAGTGTGTCAATATTGAAGAAGGCTTTCTGGTACTACATGTGGCAAAGAAAGTGCATGCATGAACAGATTTAAAATCTATGATCACCTGTAGAGAGGGAACTACAGCTCTTCCCATTATACAAATAGACTTGGGGACCCACAGAAATGACAAGTCGCTGCCTTTGTGTTATGACAGAGCTGGCAGTCAGCCTTTGTCCTCCAGCTCCAGACCACAAGTCCTTAATTTCTTATTCTGCTATGAGTAGTATCCACCCTGTGTGGTTTTCAAAATGTGACTACCAATGGAGATTCTCATTTCAAAGGAACATTTTCTGGTGTGACATCCTTCTGGCTAACTTTGAAATTCTTTAGTCAACCAGGGAGAAGCTACCTGTGTTCACATTAATATAGCGTGAATGCTAGAGCCAGCCAGGATGGCTTCCATGGAGTTGTCTCGGGAACGTTCTGAACTTATTCGTAATGACTGTGGTGGGAAGTGTGGGTAACTGGGAATACAGAGTGATAAGCCTTCCTATCCAGAAAACCACAATTATACAGACACAGAGAGGAGAGGAGGAGCATACGTCCAATCAGGTTGTGGGAAAGCTCCGACAATATGAGACAGCTATGAGCAAAGGGCCTGGGATACATCAAGTGTTCAATAAACACCTGCTCCTTCCTTTCTGCTTTCTTCCTTAAAACATGAAGTTGAAGACTTCTATTAACTTCTTAAAAACACTGTGTGGCGATTCAGACAGCCCATCCAGGCACAAAGCAGTTTAGTGCAATGCCCTTACACTGACTTCTGAGACCTTCTGCAACTTTCCTCAAATACATCCATTCTGTGTAAGGTGCCATCATGTTTATGATTTCAAACACACACACACACACACACACACACACACACACACCATCACCACCACTACAAACAACAAAACAAAAACAAAAACCGTTTTTATGATTTCTTTTCTCCCAATTCTCATCTACTACATTTATGGTTTAGCAGATTAAAAGACATCTCAGACACACATGACTTTAACTTACAAACGATTTGTGCCATATTAGCAACAGACAAAAATCTTTTCAGAAATGTACACATTATCATTATCTTAACTAAGAAAGAATAACAATTTCATAAGATATATTACCAATTTTCCAGTCCTCTACCCATAATCTCAGAAGATTTTTGAGAGTTGGTTTCCTTGGACCATGCTCTTTGTTTTAAAGTCCATTTTTAATGTCCTTTCTCTCCTGCTGTGTTTTGTTCTTTTCCTATGTCCTCTTCTGTTCTAGAAAAACACACATATGGGATGGTAAAACAAATTCAAAGAAAAGGTTGTTGGAACAAAGATTGGCAAGAGTGGCGAAAATACTACTACAGAGTAATGTGTTTTCCCCAGGAGCCATGCTCTTCCTCTGAGCTTCCTAGGAGAGACAGCCTAGCCGTTAAAGGGTAGGCTCACAAACAACAGCTTCCTAGGGGGACGCTATGTATTCAGAGATATAAACTGTGGGCCTTAGAGCTGATCACACACACACACACACACCCCAATTGTTCAGAATGTTTACCTTACCCATGGTTTTTGGCAAAGAATACAGCGTAGGGGTCTTTAAGTGTAAGAGCAAGAAGTTTTTAAAGAATTTTTAAAAATCGCACTCTAAATACTCACTGTTTTGCTACTTCTGCTATGTCCCTTTCGGTACAGTACTTGTTGGAACTTGGTTATGAAGCCAGGTCCTGCTCCCAGCAGCAACTGCTAGCTTGTCTTAGGTAGAGCAGCCTGCCCTCACTCCAGCAGAGCAGATGGACAAGTCCTGTCACAATGACCTTCTTACATGGCTGCTTTCATCTGGCTGCTTCCTCCATCACAGATCTGCAGTCTCCCTGTCAGCCTCTGAGTGTTCACAGGAAGCTCCTCGGCTCCTGCCTGGCTTTAATGTGCTACCCTGAGAAAGTCAGATGTGCTTGAGTCTCAAAGCCTCAGAAACACACAGGGAATGAGATTTCAGAAACGCTCTTGGACTTGATGACAAGGAGATCACTGAATGACCTTAAAGAGAGGCCCAGGCCTCTTTCCATTTTGCACCTTGCTTCCGTGTGCTTACCAAAGCCTACATCTCCTTTAGTCTCCAAATATTTTATCCTATGACGTATTAACAGATATCTGAAAAGATCATCTTAAAAGATCAAAGTATGAGGGAAATTTGCTTTTTTTTTCAACTTAAAAATCAGCAAATATAGGCTATGAGAATTATAATGTGGTTTACCAGAAATATCTAAAAAACTGCATTAATGATGATATACTTGCAAAGATAGAGGTATTATTGAATTTTTAGAGTAAAATCCTAGCAAACTGGTTTGGCCACTTGGCCCTAATATGCCAATAAAAGAGACGGATAATAATGATTCCTAAAGAAAGATAATTCACTCATTGTGGCCACACTGGGAGAGGAGGGAGGAAATAGAGTTTCACTGGCCTTGGCACCCACCTTCTGGATCTTGACCTGAAGTCTAAAAGGAAGGCAAACCAGAATGATCAAGCTGTGGTCCCTCCCATCATTGACCCACTGTTATTTCAGCTCCAGTCTCTCTAACAGTTTTGAGAAGAACTGTGTGACCTGCCTTCCCAGGACACAAGCTGCCCTCTGGCTGGTCCTAGACCTTCATTCAGCCTTTCTTCCTTCAGCATGAGATGCCTGGGGAACTTTTAATTCTTGGGTGTCAGTTACCTCACTTGTCTGAAAGTATAAGTGACTCTCTGTTGAGGGATATTTGATGACACTGTGAAACTGGAGACTGTGTTAATAAAGTCAATCTTGGATCAGGGGGCAGAGCCAGCAACTAGTTGAGAGGAATTAGGCATAGACAATATGGAGAAGCCAAGGAGATGGGTAGAAAGACACAGACACACCAGAAGGAGTAGGGAGGGACTTGGAGTTTCGCGGTCTTTTTGGTTTGGGATGACTGGAGACACACTCTCTTGTTGGGTCTCTGGTCACAAAGGGAGACCCACTGGTTTCTTCCTGGCTTCTCTGAGCTAGCAGGTTTTCACTCCAACACCTGACTCCCAAGACTTGATTAGAAACTACATTTGGTGACGGTGGCAGAACTGGAGCCAGTGGGACTGGAAGTCCTGCCAAGCTGTGTCCTGAGTGGTGGGATGCTGACTACATGGCCGTGGTGCCAAAGACAGTGGTTAAAATATCAGGAGATTCAGGTGCAGTCGCTAAGCCTATGGAAAAGCAACAACTCTCTTTAAAATATCTCCTGCTAGGCTAGTTACATGGAGGGCTTATTAGCTTTCCCTAGTCACTATCTATTCAGCGGTGCTCCTGGGGAACTTTTTCCAAAGGAGTTAGAGACCATGCTTTGATATTCAACAAGAATATATAAAAGAGACCATAGTTTATACTAACAAAGGCTGTCTTCCCTCAGAGTCCTCTGGGATGGCCATCAGCTATGGAGATGGCACTGAAGACATCCAAACTATGTGACAGCCATCAGCAGTGGAGATGAGAACCCTCAAGTCATTGTCTGAAATCCTGCTGGCTTTGATCTGTGAGCTCTTCCTTTCTCAGATCATATTGGTCATGAGATTCAGTTTAAGCAGTAAATTCAGAATCTTCTTCTGGGCTTGTGAAGGTCCCCGGTGGTATTGTAGAAGCACCATACCTCCCTGTCTTCTTTATGAAACCAAGAAAAAAACTAAAATAGAATTTCAAAAGAAAACTGGCATACACTTGAACTTGACTGATCAGTTCAGTCAGGCTAGACTTGGTTAATTAAGGATCCTGGAAAGACAGCCCCTTGAGAATGGAGTCTTGGAGGTACAGAACCTGCCCCATCCCCTGCACAAAACCCTTGTCCTTCCAGAGCAGTTGGATCTGAGTAGGGCTAATTTTGAAAGAATGCCAAGCTTAATGAGAAAAGAAAGATATACCACAGTGTCTTTGTTAAAGAAGAGCACAAAGAAGTGGGCATTTGACCTTGCATCTGACAGACAGTAAGACCCACATCGATGATCAGAGCTGGCTGAGTGACCTCCCTGCTGCAGCTGTAGACAAGAGCATGGTGCAAAGAGAACTCTGAGGTGGTAGTTGACCCTGCTCGCTTTGCTGGCCTCTCTGCCATATCACCCTTTAAGAAAGGAACAATTTACCAACAGGGCACAGTCCACATAAAGTAAGAAGGAGATTCTTCCAAATAAGTTCCCAAAATGACAACGCAGTGCCAGAAAAACACGGGGGTGGAGGTGGTAAAAGGTGGACTGACATTCCAGAAAATATGACGTAACACAGATAAAATACAAAGATAGTTAGTTGACCCCAGTAAGAGATAATCAAACAGCTTAAAATGACTGGGCTTTTTCTGTTTTAAAACAACCATAGGATTCTGGAAAGAAATGAAAAATGATTATAGGAGTGAAAATAAGCAATAGAGTCACACAAAGGGTTCTCTAGGAATACAGCAAGGATAAAAAGTATGTTTGAGGAAAGTGAATTTTAAAAAGGAAGTATTTGAGTGCTGGTGAGAAAAAAAAGAAAGGAGCCATGGAGGAATTTCAACTCCCCATAAGAGGGCCTCCCTACTAAAGGAAAGGGAACGCCTGTGCTACCCAGGTGAGGTGCAGGACCAGTTTTCCCTAATGCCACACCCAGGAAGGGATGGGGCCAACTCAATCTATAAGGATCAATAGGACATACAACCATAGTTTGAATTGAACCCAGCAACTTCATGGCTGGAGGGTAGTCAGAAATGAACACCAGTTTGGGCTTGCTAAAGATGTTTTGCTTCAAGGACAGAGGAAGGTCTGAGCATAAAACACCTTCATGTCTGTACCAGGAAAGCGGAAATGTGGATTCAGAGGTTGTCATACCAACAGCAACTACTAGAACATAGGTGGGATTAGGGGGTCAGGTCTTCACAATAAATGTGGCTCAAGAACTTTCTGCCTAGAGAAATAGGTTTGCCATTTCAATGGACACAAGAAGATCAGAAAACAAACAAAAACTGAGGTGCCAATCAGGAGATACGTTAGCTGTGGCTACAGTGAGAGAAAGCTCTGCATCTGCCCAGTACAGAAATAAGATGGAGCAGTTGAGGGAGCTGTGATTACAGGATAGGATATAAGTTAAAAATAATGGTGGCGGAGCAACCCAGACATGGGAGGGGAAAAGGCTGTGTAAGCAGGAGATTCTTTGGTAACTTGGTCCCTCAACCTACCACTTAAACAATAAAGCAGCAACTAGGAACATAATGACGTAAAGAGCCATGATTGAGTGAGTGTACAGCATGGGCAGCTATAGCAAGCCAGGAAAGCTAGTACCAGAGAAGTGACTGAGATCTGTACAAATGTGGTGATTTCTCATGGTATTGAGTCATCAGAGACTACATAAAAAAGAATAAAACAATACATAACGATACAAGGTCATGATGAAAGGCAGCCAGAATACACTATAAGCCTTCAGCACTATCAGAACAAAGGTATACATGCAATAACAAGACAAAAATAACATAGAAAAATAAATAATAAATTTTAATTTGTGTGCATAGTATTGTGAATGGCAAATGTAACTAAGGATGGTCAATTCCCAACCAGTTCTCATATCAAAGATGTAAAGAAAATGACTCAAAGCTTGAATAACAATGCACAATCCAAATATATGCCACACAGACAGGCAGCCCAAAGTGGAGCAGGGTAATACAACAGAAAGTTCTCTTGATGGCATTCATTTATTTGGTCTGAAGGTTTACTTCTCCGCAGATCCACATATTTAAACACAACCTTCCAGGTGACAGTATGATAGGTGTACTCTTTGATATCAGGTCAGGAGAAATCTGCCCTCATAAATGAGATTAATGCCCAGATTAAAATGACTGGGGTATCCCTCTTTGCCTTTTGCCATATAAGGACACAGAAGAGTCCATCTATGTCACACAGATCCCCCCCACCCGCTGGATGGATACTGACTCCAGTGGCACCTTGATCCTGGGCTCCCCAGCTTCTGGAATATGTGCAACAAATATCTGTTCTTTATAAATTATCTGATCTAAAGTGTTTTTGCAATAGCAACCAGAGTATTTTGTAATAGCAATTAAGACTGGTTTTTGAAGAATCATGACAATTTTTAGGAAGAATTAAGACAAAAAATATTAAAAAGGACCTTTTCTTTAAAGAAAAATGACATCTATAAGGAAGCTTTAATTTCTATGAAAATGTATCTCTAATACCAAGGCATTGACATTCATACAGCAAAAGCTACTAGAATAAGAAGCAAACTAGGCAATCTTCTGCTCAATTTTTTATCCTGTAAGGAAAAAGAATAAGGATAAACCTGAATGAGAAGTATCATTTTACAATTTAAAAGGTGCATATATCCAAAAGCAATGCATGCACACATCTAAGTTTTGACTTAGTGATGTATCCCAAAAATTAAAACTGTATCCTGTGTTGATATCTTTATCGTACAAATAGAGCCTGTCTGAAAGTCAGAGAATGGAGCTTGCTACTAGCTAACCATAGAGGTCTGGAGGTCTGTACTGACAGACAGGAAGTGAGATAGCTGGGCAGAGAGGATATAAACAGGGAGAAACAGGAACTCACTCTCTTGTTTGCTGAGATGCTAAGGAGGTAATGTGCGGCAGTGGCTTGTTCCTTCTTCTCTCTGATCTCTCAGCATTTTCCTCTGTATCTGATTCTGGGTTTTTATTGTTTAGACCAATTTAGAACTCCTTTTACAGTATCCCCTAGGACCGAAGAGTTGGCCCTGTCCCTCACTGGCTGCGCCACTAGGGAGAACTGGCCTTGTACCTCACCAGGGCAGCAGAGTAGGGCTGTCCCTGTTGGTAGGAGTACAGGTGAGCTGCCCTGAAGGCCTGAGAGAGGGAGAGCTAGCCCCACTGTGTGTTACATGGAGCTGAGGGTGAGGGATAGATATCCCCCTCACCCCTTGCCCCGACCC